AAAAAAACACCAGGATATTTTGGATCGGTTGGGCTGCAATTAGGTTTGGATAACAAAACAGCCACTGGCTGGATGCTTAGATATGCCGGGCACCCCCCTTCCTGACTCCTCACACGCTTCAAAAGAAATACGAATAATTTTCCCCATTTTCTGGGTAGATTGACTGAGATTGAGAGCGATGCGAATTGCCCCCAAACTGTTGCAATTCATCTTTAGTCTACTTCAGCCTTTTGCACTGTCCTAATAGTGAAAAGTTAAAAACAACTTTAACATCTGCAGGAATATACAAAGCTCACACACACTGGTCTCCTTATTTTAGCCAGTGAACTGTTGTTCTCAATTTACGGTTGAAGAAACTGAGGCACGGGGAGAGTAAATGGCGTGGCTGGACATTACACAGCCAAAAAGTAGCAGAGACCTGTTCAGCCATCCCCCAATGCCCACGATACCCACTTGCTTTATCCATAAAATCCTCAGATGGAAATGTCCACAGCTTCAAGGCCATGGCAGAATGTACAAAACAAGCTACAAAAAGCAGGAATCGTATATTTCCATTTTTAAAAAAAATGAACATATACTCAACATACTCAACATAAATCTGATTATCATGTGAGGGGAAGACATTGGAACAATTTCTGTCTTCTACCTGTTTAAGTATTGAGTTTTCTTTAAATGGTATTAGTTGTGTCTTTTCAGTAGGAGGATGCGCTTTTAAAAAAAAATCATCAAGTTATTTAAAAGATATTTTTGTTCTGGGTCTAGGTTTGTAATTCGGCTTGATTTAAACTAACAAGCAGCGCACCTCCAAAGTCAGAAAATTTATGACAACTCGAAAACGACAAACGTGATTTAAATCGGCCCTGTGCGAAAAGAAACTATAGCTGGGGAAATTTATGTCAAGTAAACTTTCTGCCGGGAGCCCAGAGGAGCGCAGGGAGCGGGTGAAGACGGCGCGGGACTGCCCACATCCGACCGAAGGAGGGCGGAACTCTTCCGCCGGCCCCCAGCGGAGCGACCCGGGAGAGGAAACTTCCGGCGAGTACAGGACTTCCGTGCGGGGCAGCCGATTTGGTTAGTCCTAGGAGGACCGGAAGTCCGTCACCGCCGGCTCCCCGCCTCTTTCCGGAAGTGACGCACAGCGGGGTTGCCGGAAGAAGTGGCGAAGTTACTTTTGAGGGGACCCGAGAGGCGGCGCCGTGCCAGGGGATACAGAGGAGGAAGACGAGGAGCGGAGCAAAGGGACGGAGGCAGGTGCACCCGAGTGTGGGGAGACGCGGGCGAAGGCCCGGGCCGGGGCTTCCCGGAGTTCCCTGCGCTGCTCCGCTCAGCCTCGTCTCTCCTCCCTCTCCCTCCCCTCCATAGCTCGCGTCGCCCCCGGTTGTTTCCAGGGCAACGGGAGTGGGAGACCCCGCGAGAGACCGCCCACGAGACCCTCGCGCGCAGCCATGAGCCCCGCCCCCCACTGGTGTTCGGAGCGGGGCGGGACTTGGAGTGAGGTGCGGGGGCGGAGCCTGATGGGAGGGTGCGGAGGCGGGGCTTAATGGGAGGAGATGGGGCGGGATCTGCGGGGGGTGGTACGGAGGGAGCCGGGCAAAGAGCTGGGGAGGCGCAGCATGGGGGTGGGGGGGAGTGACAGTGGAACCTGGAAGGGATCGGTGGAAAAGTTGGGGGCGGAGCATAACAGGAGGAGGCGGGGTCACGACGAGAGGCGGGTTTGCTGCTTTGGCAGAGTGGGACGGAGTAAGAGTAGGTGGGGTGAAAGTGGGAAAGGGAGTGAGGGCGGAGCGGGATTGAAGCTGAAGAAGCAGTACCTGGAGAGAGCAGGTGGGCGGGACCTGGAGCAGGCAGAGCCTTAAGTAGGGGCGGGGCCTGGCGGAGGGTGGGGCTTGAGGCCCGTCCTGGAGCAGAAGGGGGCGGGTCCTGTTAGAATTGGAGGCGGGGAAAAAAGTTTTAAAAGAATTGGAGGGGGGCTTTGTAGACTGGCGGGGGCTGGGGGTCTGTGTGCAGTGAGGAAGGTTTGGGACTGGCCACGTTCTGGGACAGTTGGAGTCTGGGAGAGATGGAGAAGTGCTCCCCTCAAGACCTATGGCTGAGCTAACTGGAACCTGCCTGGCCTCACAAGGCTCAGTCACCCCTGTATTTTGCAGACTGCTCCGTGACCCCACCATGTCCACCCCCACCACGAGTTCCCAGGACACCCCCTTGCCCGGTGAGCAGTGTACCCCTCCTCAGCTCACTGCCCCATCACACAGTTGTCAGGAGAAACTCACTGTGCCTCCCTCTCCCAGGAAATGTACCCCCTCAGCCCAGCGCCCCCTCTTCTAAACCCGTGGTAAAGGAGGAGCGTCCTGAGCCGTGGCCTGGGGGTCCGGACCCTGATGTCCCAGGTGCCGATGGGGCTGGCTCAGCATGCAGCGTGGGTGAGCTGGGGCCCAGAGACAGGGCCTGGGAGCTGGTATAGGGCTTGGGGGTGGGACCCAGGAGGGGACAGAGATCAGAAATGGCGATAGGAAGCTTCGGTTTCTTGTTGATTTTTTTCTTCCGTTCCTCTTTGGGGTTCACTGACATCACACATCTTTTCCTGTGAATCGTCATCTTCCTGGGTCACCTTCAGTACGCTGGCCCTTTGCCTTCGCTGTCACGGGCCTGTCTCTCTGGCTTCCGTTTCTCTCTGTGGCTCTGTCTCTCATGGCTTCTGTCCACCCACCCCAGTCACCCCAGACCCAGCGGAGGAGCCAGAGCGCAAGCGAAAGAAGGGCCCGGCACCCAAGATGCTGGGCCACGAGCTGTGCCGCGTGTGCGGGGACAAGGCCTCCGGCTTCCACTACAACGTACTCAGCTGTGAAGGCTGCAAGGGCTTCTTCCGGCGCAGCGTGGTCCGCGGCGGGGCCGGGCGCTACGCCTGCCGGGGCGGAGGGACATGCCAGATGGACGCCTTCATGCGGCGCAAGTGCCAGCAGTGCCGGCTGCGCAAGTGCAAGGAGGCCGGGATGAGGGAAGTGTGAGCGTTCCTTCTGTTGGAAGTGCTCCCTCTTCCCCGTGTGAGAACAGCCCAAGCAGGCTTCCTAGGGGCAAGGCTGGCCCAGGGCCCAGAGGCCAATGGGATGACTGAGTGCTGTTTGTTCTGCCCCTAGATACAGCAGCAACAACAGCTGCAGCGGATGGCACAGCTGCAGCAGCAGCAGCAACAGCAGCAGCAGCAGCAGCAGTCGCCACCCGTAGGGCCGGTGGTGGGCAGCAGCTCGGCCTCTGGGCCCGGGGCCTCCCCCGGAGGGTCCGACGGGGGTGGCCAGGGCTCCGGGGACGGCGAGGGTGTCCAGCTAACAGCCGCGCAGGAACTGATGATCCAGCAGTTGGTGGCGGCTCAGTTACAGTGCAACAAACGCTCCTTCTCTGACCAGCCCAAAGTCACGGTACTGCCCCTCCTGCGACCTGGAGCCATGACGGGCCTGGCGTGGGGACGGAGGGGGCACGGAGGGCGCACAGAGAGCAGGGTGGTGGAGAGGTCGGTCTTCCAGGCTTTGCCTCGGTGCCCCCGTGCCTTGGGCTTACCTGGGCTTATTAGAGGAGTCCTGACTAACCCCGCCCCCACGCCTGTCCTAGCCTTGGCCCCTGGGCGCAGACCCCCAGTCCCGGGATGCCCGCCAGCAGCGTTTCGCCCACTTCACGGAGCTGGCCATCATCTCGGTCCAGGAGATTGTGGACTTCGCCAAGCAAGTGCCTGGCTTCCTGCAGCTGGGCCGCGAGGACCAGATCGCACTCCTGAAGGCCTCCACCATCGAGGTAATGGCCAGCCGCCCAGCCTCCGCTAGGCCCTTCCCTCCCGCCTGCGAGGAACCCCAGACGTGAGCCCCAGGATGGATGCTGGGAGCGTTGGGACGAGCAAGACTCCTCCAGTCCTTGCCCTCGTGGGCATGATGTTCTGCAGGGGCGTGTCGGGATACTAAACAGAATAGAGCCTCCCACCGGCCAAGGAGAGAAAGGAAATGGGCTGAGGCTGAGAATAATTGAGGATTGGGCTGGAGGAACACACTTTAGAGAATTTTCCCAAAAGGTTATTCAGAGAAGTTGGCATTTGAACCGAAACAATGGTGACAAATCAAGATTGAGTGCCTAGTGTGTGCCAGGTTCTACTCCAAGTGCTGGGCACATGGCAGTGAACAGAACAGACAGAAAGCCCCGCTCCTGGACCGTGTGACCAACTGGGGAGGCTGTCCTGAGTGGAGGGTGCTGGGCTTGCTGAGCCGCGAGGAGTGAGAGAACTTGGCATGTCCACTGTGCTGACTGCAGGCTGGTGTGGCTGCGAACGGGGGACAGAGGGGTGACGGAAAATCCCGGCACGATCAGGCCCCCCATTCAGGCCAGGAGAGGGGGGACGTATGGCTAAAGGGTCCTGGATTCCTCAAGCCCTTCTCCCCGTTCATTCCCCTCTCTGCTGCCGTTAGATCATGCTGCTGGAGACGGCCAGACGCTACAACCACGAGACGGAGTGCATCACTTTCCTGAAGGACTTCACCTACAGCAAGGACGACTTCCACCGTGCAGGTACAGCCACGCAGGCGGGGCGGGCGGGGGGCTGCCGCCTGGGAGACCCTGGCCACTGCGGCCGCCTCAGCCCTGTCTGGGCCTCTGTTTCTTCACCTCCAGAGAAGGGCGAGAGTTGAGTCAGCCTCACAGCGAGTTACGAGCGCGTTTCTGAGCGCAGTGGGGGCAGTGCAGGATGGGGCGGGGGTGGCGTCCCTGCTCGTCCGTCGGGCGTCCTGGTGGGAATTAAGACACACTCTCCTCCCACACCCTGAGTGCACCCAAGGGAGGCTGGGTCTCATTAGTCTGCTGGGAAGTGTACAACCTACCCAACCGTATAGGCCGTCCTTAATCTCTGCTGTCCAAGAATCTCTCAGCTGGGCTGTGACCTAGCCTTCTGGAGGTAGTGCAGACGAGCCTCAGTGGCTTTCTGGGCCTAGGGCTTCACCTAGGAAAAGGGAGATGGGAATAGCATTGCCCACCAGGGAACTGCCTGTGCAAAGGCCCTGAGGTGGAGAGAGCTAGACGATTTTAGGGAATTACACAGCAGCTGGAGCACAGAGTAAGGCTGGAGAAAAGGTCGGGGTCTCACTACTTCCCTGCATCCTCTGCCCCCGGCACAGCGTAGGCCTCAGTTGTTTCCCTAGGATATTGCAGGGTTTCCTCGCTGGGCTCCCACCTCCACTCCTGCCCCAAAGTCTGTTCGCACAGCAGTCAGAAGGGTCCTGTGAACCCCCAGGCCAGCTCACAGCCCTCCTCTGCTCAGAACGCCCCATGGTGCCCGTCCCCCTGGGAAGGAGGCGTACCACGGGCCCTGCGGGGGCTGGCTCCGGCCCTTCCCTCTCTGCCCCGTCTCCTGCCCTTGCCCCTCCATCACCCCTCTCCAGCCACGCTGGCCTCCCCCCTCTCACTTGAAGCCAGGGAATGTGCTCCCCCTTCAGAGCCTCTGTGTTTGCTGGGCCCTCTGCCCACAACTAGAGCGACCGGCTCACCCTGTCTTGGCCAGTTCTTTTCCAGTTTTAACACTGATTGTCTCGTGGCTCAGAAAGCCACTGAGGCCTGGGCAGAACAGATGGTGGCACCCTACCCGGAACACTCACGTCCTCATAACTCGCTCCCTCCCCTTCTTCGGGCCCCTGCTCAAAGAGCACCCTACAGTGAGGCCTTCCTCCCGTGTCACCCTCCTGTGACCACCTTGTGTAAGATGCTGACGTGATTCTCAGTGGTCCCCGTTATCCTTCTGTGCGTTACCTTGATCTACAGAACTCCCCATTGTTTCAGAGGCTGGATAGGTTACTTACAGCGTTGCCTCTTACCTGTTCCCTCCACTCCTCAATGTAAGTGTCACAGAGTGTGGATTTTGTAAACAGCCCTATCATGGGCCTGGCACATAGTAGGTGCCCAATTAAGTTTTTTTTCTTTTTTTTTTGTTTCTTGTTTTTTCCCAGTGAAAGTTTGATGAATGAATGAATGAATGACTGAGTCACACTTAGGAATGAATTTGGGCTTTACCCTAGAGCAGTAGAAGCCCCCACAGGGGGTGACACCATATGACCTGTGCTTAACAGTCTTTCCTTCTCCTGGGGCGAGGTACCAGGAAGCCAGGAGGAGGTGACGCTGGGGATGGGGATACTAGAAAATAAATAAGTGCCCGCGTGGGCAAGGTTTACGGCACATCCCGTGCCACCCACTCTCACAGGCAGCGGGAACAGGCGAACAGAAGTGACGAGCACTGTGACAGCTGCTGCTCTCACCTTACTGACAGCAAGCAGCGTCAGGGCCTGGGTCTGGCTCAGGTGGGCGAGCGCGTCACACAGCCTCCCCCCCACTGCAGGCTTGCAGGTGGAGTTCATCAACCCCATCTTCGAGTTCTCGCGGGCCATGCGGCGGCTGGGCCTGGACGACGCCGAGTACGCCCTCCTCATCGCCATCAACATCTTCTCGGCCGACCGGCCCAACGTGCAGGAGCCCAGTCGCGTGGAGGCGCTGCAGCAGCCCTACGTGGAGGCGCTGCTGTCCTACACGCGCATCAAGAGGCCCCAGGTAGCGGAGCCCGGCCCTAGGCCGAGCAGGTGCCATCCTGGGGCGGGGGGAGCAGCCTTGCGGACCCACATGCAGATGGGTCCTTCTTCCTCATCTGAATCTGGATGTGTCTGACCCTCTCGTCCCAGCCCCCCCACCCCCGATACCCCTCTGAGCTCTGGCCCACGTCCTCCCAGCACACCCTGTCTTCAGGCCCCTGGCCCAGGCATGGGTGGAGGGGGTCCCCATGCTCTGGCCACCTGCTCCCTATGCTGGCTCTCCTGGTTCGGCCCGGGGACGGAGGCGCCCCTGTGGTCCAGGTCGGCTGCTCAGCGCCTCACGGGCCCGGCCTGGCTAGCGCCCACCTGCTTCCTGTGCCCGCAGGACCGGCTACGCTTCCCTCGAATGCTGATGAAGCTGGTGAGCCTGCGCACGCTGAGCTCGGTACACTCGGAGCAGGTCTTCGCCCTGCGGCTCCAGGACAAGAAGCTGCCGCCTCTGCTGTCTGAGATCTGGGATGTCCATGAGTGAGGGGCCCCACCCTCCGACAAACGGACACTGACACTCCTTCTTCCTCCTGGGGCGGGAAGGGGCTGGGCCTGGGGTCCCACCCTGTGGCTTGGAGCACAGGCCCTGGCCCTGCCAGCCCTCAGCCCTCAGGATAAGCCCCTGTTGGGGTCCAGGAGGCTTCCTTCCTGCCCACCAAGTCTTCCTGGGAGGTGTGGGTGGGTCATAGGTCCCAACCTCTGACCTCCCTGAGCACTCTCAGCTGCCCTCCCCAGCCAGCTTACACTGAAGCCCACTGCGCAGTGCACCTTGCACAGGGGGAGGGGACGGCCCATGGCTCTCCCCCCAGCCTGAGAGACCACAGGCTCCCCCCTCCCTCTGCTCCTTTTATTTAATAAAATCTAAAAAAAAAAAACGGACAAAAATAGGAAAATAAAATATGAATAGAAATCTGCTCTGAGCCAGAGTGAGTCTGAGATGGACAGGGGACGGGCTGCCAGGGTCCTTGTCACTGGCTGGCGGTGGGGGGGGTGCCCAGGGTGGTGTGGCCAGGTGCTGTGAGGGTCCGAGAGACGCCCCTGATGGCCTCAGGTCACCTCCCTGTACGAGGCGAGTTGGAGCCTGCGCATGAAAGGCAAGGAGAGTTTAAGTGGACGAGGGGACTGGGGTTTTGCTCAGTCAACAAATACTTGGCCAAAGCCGCTTGTGGGCTGGGCACTGTGGCCATCCTGGGGACACAGATGTCGGGCATCTCACAAGTATGTCTGGAGCACTTTCTACGTGCCAAACATAGTTTTAAGCACTGGAAGCAGCAAAAGACTCTCCTGAGAGGTGGCTACCAATTAGGGCTAGCAGTGGGGGTTGGATGGGGACAGCTAGAATGTCAGGGAATAGGGACTTTAACAGGAGTTATGTCCTAAACCATGAGAATCAGGGTCCTGGCCCCCAAGTTTAGGAAGGGCACGTGCTGGGTCTGGAAGGTGAAAGGTCCTGGAGTTCTCGTAATCCCTCCTTCCCCTTTGTCAGGCCCTTAGGGGACACTGAGGTGAGCCAGATGGACACTTGTGGTCCAGGGTGAACAATGGGACGTTGCTGGGAGCGATGGGCTGGGTACTGAAGTTTATTTTTTTAGGGTGGGAGAGGGGACGGCAGAAAGAGTGGTCAAAAGCGATAGCTCCATTCCAAGCAGTGTGCTCGCGCCCCACAGGCGTGCCCCACAGGCGTGCCCCCGCCCCATGCTGAGTCTAGCTGACAGATGGGGAGACAGGCCGTGAGCCTGGGACTTGAGCGCGGATCGCCCAGCCTCAGCAGAGAGGGCAGTCATCAGACCGCCGGAGGAAGGGTGTCGGTGCTCAGCTGGTCTCCGAGTGGCCTGCGGCGGGAGGCGGGCAGGGAAGCTGGGGATGCTCGCACCCGGGAGGACGGGGGCGCGGCGTGGCTCAGGACTGCTGCGCGCGCAGCTCCCAGGAGGCCGCGCGGAGGCCGCAGGAGAGGGCGTGGCTTTGAGTCGCTTGCGTCAGTAGGGGGCGGGGTTTGTCGGGAAATTGTCCGCTGGGGGTCGAGGCCGCACCGCCCCCTGGTTGGAAAGAGGGGGCGTGGCCCAGGCTGCGGGGCGTGGCCCAAGCTGCGGGGGGCGTGGCCCCCTGACGGGCGGGGGGCGTGGCCCGGCCCGGCGCGCAGCGGCTCTGGACCTGCGCGCGCCGGAGTCAGGGGTCACGGCGGCGTAGGCTGTGGCGGGAAACGCTGTTTGAAGCGGGTGAGTAAAGGGAATTGCGGGGGACTTGGCCTGGCGGGACTTGGCTCGGAGGAGCCAGGCACGAGAGGGGTGTCGTGGGACGCCCG